AACAAAAAATAGTCGTAACAATAGCCAACTTGTGTTGTATATAAAGCAGATGGATGCCAAAAATGAAAGGGGCAAAATAATCTCACCTCTGGGCAACACAGATAGCAAAAACGCCTCACGGGGGGCTCGAACCCCCGACCTTAGGATTAAAAGTCCCACGCTCTACCGACTGAGCTAGCAAGGCTGGAATTGAAATATTTTTTGCTCAGTGTTATATAAAGCATATAGTCACGTGACAGGTCACGTGATTTGATTTAAGCCAATCAGAATCGTTAAAGGTGCTGGACTTGAAAAAAATAATCGCTGGCCCAATCAAAGATTTTCATTTATGCGGAGTGTGAATATTCTCAAGCCAATCAGAGCCATTCACGGGTGCCCCCTCAAATCCCCCCTGCCAAATAAAATTCAAATACCGCTTTTTGCTACTAAGAATCACTTTCTCACCAAACCTTTACTTTGCTTCTTCTTCCCTTCTTCATCACTTTTTTCTTTCCTTCGACATTGGCGCCGCACCAGGAACGACTCAGTCACTATACACCGACCCTGAACGACGGACGCAGGGTAATTCTCTCCTTCTCATCGTCTTGTCCATCTTTGTCTTGCCATGTCTAATGTGTACCTTTTGCATCATTGCTTCTTTTTTTCATAGCAGATCGAACGGGATGGTAATGGGTATTGTCTCTCTGGCTTTAGTGCTGTATGGGCATGTGGTCAGATTAGTGATTGAAAGCAACGGATTACGAAAAACAAGCGGAAACCCTCATAATGTTTTTTTATGGTGCACTCACTTTTCCATTGTAGATTGTCTAGCCATTGCGCTTTCAAATAGCACTAGCCCTTAGATCTCTTCCTTTGGAAACTACCTCTATCATCTTTGGCACCATTGGACAGCTTCTTCCTTCCTCCATTCCGTGCGGCATTTTACTAGATTAGTCACTCCATGGCAAGCCTTCCATTTAGTTTAACCATAGTCTCATTCAGCCAATAAAACCTATTTAAGAACCCATCTACATAACTTTACTATTCTGAATATGTCCCAGTCATTTTGGGAAACTCTGACAGGCACCAGTGTACCCAGTATTGACCGATTGCGAGAGTTTGGAAAAGGCAGGGGTAAAAAAAAGTGGGCGTGCGGGGTTTGAACACTTTGACTTTTTTAGAAACTTAACGATCTCTTAGTTGTAAATTTTTGTAACGAGTTGCCCAGTTTTTCAAAAACGAGATGGATAACCTGTCTTCAAATTTCACATGGAACAAGATAAAATGTATATCTATTGAATGATGTTAAGATTGAAGTATACATGTGCTGTATACTTCTCTGAACACTACATTAAAGCCTAAATCAGCGCTGATTCCATTGACTCTAAAGTCGGTAATTCATCCATCAAAACCCAACATTCTTAACATCGTTCGGTGGATAAGAAGCACTACTTACTTCACCTAAAATTTGAGGTGAATTTGGTTATCTCTTAAGAGAAAATTCATGTTCAACAAAAAGTGACACTTTTCATGGGGGGTGAACCGTCCTTTTTTTCAAAAAAGCGGCGTTTGAAAAAGTTGCTAACTTTTTGGTTGTCTGGTCTGAGTGGACGGATGCCAGGAACACATGGTGTTAGTGTAGATAGTGCTCCAAAGGCAAAGTAGTCGAGTCAAAAAGTGAGATTTGTGCATTCATACACTTGGAAATAAGAGTGAAATTCAAATCAAGCTAGAGAAACAACTCAAATTTGGCCCTTGGAATCGAGAAGGTGGTCCATGGAGATGATTTCAAAAAAGTTTTATTGAGTGAATGAGACTACGTTTAAGCTATATGTGGGGGGGGGGAACGACTGCGAAGATAAGTACAGGACTTGGAATAACTAATCTAGTGTCATGGCCGAGAGATTGAAGGAGGGGAGAGCTGATCGGCGGCGCAAAAAGTGTCAGTGGCAGTGGACAAAGGGAAGTAGGTACCCGAGTAGTGATATTTGGAATGAGCCCTTGCGTCCGACCCCTAATCCAACCACATGTCCATCCGGTCCTGGTGCCAGAGAGCTGATACCCTTTGCCATCCCATTCGATCTACTACGAAAAAAAGAAGCAATGATGCAAAAGGTAAATGTTAGCCATGGCAAGACAAAGACGGACAAGATAGTGAGAAGGAGAGAGTTACCCTGGGTTCGTCGTTCAATGTCGGCGTATAGAGACTGAGTCGTTCCTGGTGCGGCGCCAATGTCGATGGAAAGAAAAAAGTGATGAAGAAGGGAAGAAGAAGCAATGTAAAGGTTTGGCGGGATAGTGCTTCTTTGTAGCAGGGGCGGAATTTAAAATCCAGTGTTGGGTGCAAATCGTCTGGCGTGCCAATTCCAGGTGTGGGGATCGCCATTTTGTCATCCAGCCGTGCCCTATTATACACAAACTGTTAAAGCATCGGTCCACAAATGTGCAGCATATAGCGGTATAAGTGACCTCTTGTTTATTCTTGGTTGTTCTATCATTAGCTACTATCTAAAGGACACTTAATAACTGCAAAGACCATAAAGAGCTACATTAGTCCATCAACACGGCACCACGACCAATGTAATCAGAGAGACAACGTGAAGGAGAAGACTGTGGTTCACTAACAAAGATTGTACCATGATTTATATACTGATTATGATGGTCGTCAAGTTTGGAAGGTATATAGTTGTAGTTGATCATTATCCCAAACGATTCGTTTACGCCTTTGTCTATAGAACAAAACAATCAATCAGTCAACCACGTTGTATACTTTTGAGTTACTTTTTACCTGAAACATCGCCCTGCCAATGAAGTTGATGCGCACAAGCACCATTGCGGAGATGGAAGTTTGCGACAGGATCTAAGGAGCCATTGTTGGGCCTCTTTGCGTCAAGGATGTATCTGTAAATAGGGAATCAGCGGTTTACTTTTATCATTTTGTGCTTTTGTCTTACCTTGCACATAAATGCAGTAGTTTTGTTGCTAAGGGACTATCCTTCGGGACATCTTTGATCATCTAAATGTTCGATTAATACCCAATGTCGTTCGTGTTTTACATCTGCCACTTACTTGTTCCCAATGAGTAGTACCTCCTGCTTGGACAAGTTGCTCCCAAAGGCTAGGGTCCTTCGATAGTTGTTCGTTCAGCCATTGTCGAAACCCGGGAATGGGGCTCAAAGTAGCAAAGGTGTGGATCTGAGAATACGTCTGCTGCAGTTGGTCTACCACCCGCCGAATGAGGTAGTTGCCGAGATGGATACCTCCTAACCCTTGTTGTGTTGTTATTGAATAGCATATGGCGTATCGTGAATCGTGTATGTTGTGATTGGTGGATCGATTGTAGGGCTCGAGGATAGTTTGGATCGAGTTTGATAGTTCGGATACGAGAGCAACGTGGACAAAGACCAGTGGTTCCTTTGGTAGCCCTTTTGCAAACAAAGCGTAGACTCTTCTATCTGGTGCAAGTCGTCTAATAGAACAAGATCATGAAAAAAAAGTCAGTTCTGCTCTTCTTCATCAAGAGTCGCCCTCCTCCGTCCTGTTTACCTTTTGATATCTTGTAAGCCTGATACAGCATGCACAGCTTCATATCGACAGAGCTACAATGTAAAGGGTTGTGAGTTCGACAATGCCGCTGAGCACATTGCGCATACCTTTTCGATGACTTCGGGGGAGGCGGACTGCCAAGTGATTCGGCCAATAGACAGCTGACTATCGGAAGACAGTAACTTCACCTTGATTGACGACTTTAGAATGGATTCCAAAGGGGCGAGTATTGAGTGTTCACAGGGATAGTGTCGTAACAGTGTCAGCAAGGACCCTCGGAAATCGATGATTCGTTTAACGCCGCCAGGGAGTTGGTACAACGAATGGAGAAAAGTGACGATCGATTGTTGGTGGTGGTAGGAGTTGCTGAAGTGGCGGAGAAAGAGTAGTTGGTCAGGCTAGAAAAGAAGGAGTTGTTAGTATAGAATGTAAGTGAGAGGCGGACTTACTGTATCTAATAGTTGGAAAAAGTCATGACATTGTGATATCAGGGCACTTTGGGTATCGGGAGGAGTAGTGTGTCTGTCCACCGCTTGAAGAAGCAATCGTTGCATAAAGGTCGCATCATGGATAGCTGCTTTGGAGGATTCAACATTAAACGTAAAGTCGTTCCGTTTATCTATATATCAACAAGAGAATAAGGTTAGTTTGGGGACTAAAGTGCGGAACGGGATAAGAATCATAAAAAGGACTGTACTTTACCCTGTTCAAGTAAGGACCAATAGGCAGAGGTAGAGGTCTTCTTTTCTGAGTAGCGACAATTAGAGGAGTTGAGAGTAGGCTTGGGTTGAATGATATGGGGAAGGGAGTAAGAGGAATAACAACGATGCTTCAGTACATTAGAAATAAAGCGGTACTGTATCGAAGGTTTTTGCATTCAGAGGTGTAAAACGAGGGTGTGTGTATGACGGTGGGAAAATGAATGAGAAAAGAAGGGAAGAGAGAGAGAAAAGGAAAAGAGTCGTAGTTTAAATTTATCTTCTGGAAAAATGCACGTGAAGCTATCGGACTTTGAAATTGAGGATAGGGCTGGATGTGAATCACAGAGCAACTGCGAATACAAGAGCATTGATGATCCAGCGTAAGTACAGTGCGCAGATGATCTACTGCGATGAATCTTTACCCCCTGCTTCGGTATATCGCATTGAAGGGTGAATGACAAAGATAAACGTCGTTCTATTGTTTTTCCAAGGCATAAGCTAGGGTTCAGCTGTTAGACCCGAGGATTTTGATTGGCTGAACATCAGGAGACACTTTTTTGCTTTCCTGTACTTTTTTTGGAATTGCGTTTTTTGATTCTTTTCCCTCTCTTTCGCCCTTTCCTCACTTTTTTCTCTTTTTTCTTCCCTTCTTGCCTCCCTGATTTACTGTCACCCTGCGTACATCTCTTTTCTACATCTGCTTCTCATCCGTCTTCCATTCTATCCATTGACCCTTCTCTGAAACTCTTCTTCGTTGGTTTTTCTCACAAACGGTAAGAAAGAATGAAAAAGACCACTTTACATCATAGTCCCATTCTCTCTTGAGCATGTCAAGAAACTATCCCTCATACAACCCATGTAATATCTTACTCATCCACTTTCCCTCTCTTGTAGTCAGATATTCTCGCTAACTTACACTATCCCTCAAGCTCTATACTAACACTCCACCAACTCAAGA